ATATTTTTGTGCTGATAAGCCTGAGTGGTGTCTGTTTGTATTTGTTAAAATAATTGTTATGGGCAGGTTACAATATAAAAATGTTTGTCATAATCATGTCTTGTGATTATTTGACAGTTTTACTTTTAAACTGTAAGTGTATTTAATTTAGTTACGTTAGTTATAATAGTTTAGTTATGATGTAAATACAGTAAAAAATTAAACCAAGATTAGAATAATTATCATTTTGATCCATATGGTAATATGTGACTGGGCCTTGTGCCACTTCATGTTCAACAAATTGGGCACCGAGATCAAAAGGTTTAAGAACCCCTGGCCTAGATCACAGTAAACCACATCAATACATTCAGCACTAGATCTATATTATATTACTATACCAAGTGGCAACAATCGCCTTATGTTTTCATTATTTTATATATTCTAACTTATCTTTTGAGTACCTAAAAAGCAGGCTTATTTAAATGAAGTTTTTAATGTATCTATGATCATTGTTGCACATAAACACAAGTAATACATGGCATAGCGATCTCCACAACCCATCATGCTTTGCGCTAGGCAAAGATGGCGGTATCCGCGATATGGTCTATGGCTAAATTGTTAGCATTAGCTGTTAGCTTACTAAAACAATCAGAATTAAACTATTGCTCCAAACTGAAGTTGTTCAAAAAGCTATCTACATGTAAGATATTTTTTATTTGCTACTAACCACACACTTGAAAAGATCGGAACGATTACTTTACTCTGTTACACTCGTCGTATCTTTCTTTGCGCAGACATGCTGCAACCATCGTTTTTTTTATTATCATTCATTGCTGCATCACTGAAATACATTGTTATGGACTAATTATCTATYTGTGTCACATGTTCAATGTTAATCTGTTTGTCCAGACAACAGGACTCCGCAACGGACTGACCTCTCTTGTTTGATAAGACACTCTTTGAGCTGGGAGCCCTGTGATAGGCTGGAGAGTACATTAGGCGATCTGTGATTGGTTATAAGCACGTCATATGATGTTATCATGGTGTATATTATTGGCTGTGTCCGCTGACGTGTCAGCGACAAGCCAACAGGGCTTCCTGATTGAGTCCTGTTTGCCTGTTGCTCAGAATTAAAACATTATTACGACCATACACGCAGACTTTTCTGGCATTATTCCAACGTGTTTCTGCTTTCATGCCACGACAGAAATTGGCGCTGTCGGCAGGATGAAAGCAGAAATTGTTAGCATTAGCTGTTAGCTCACTAAAACAATCAGAATTAAACTATTGCTCCAAACTGAAGTTGTTCAAAAAGCTATCTACATGTAAGATATTCTTTATTTGCTACTAACCACACACTTGAAAAGATCGGAACGATTACTTTACTCTGTTACACTCGTCGTATCTTTCTTTGCGCAGGCATGCTGCAACCATCGTTTTTTTTTTATTATCAATCATTGCTGCATCACTGAAATACATAATGAGGATTCCCAACACCAGAGGCAGCGGTGATTAAAAATTTATGCAGGATAATAGACAGAGGAGGGAAACGTGGCATGATTAGTCGCTGGTGATTGAGAGATAAACAAACAAAAGTGGAAATGAAAGAGAATATGTTTATTTGTCATCGATGTAATTCTGTTTGTGTGCGAAGACAAAATTCCATCTGGCTGCACGCGTGCCTCACCTTGAGGACCTGCTGTATGTGATCCTGGTGCTCCGCATCTACAATGCGGTCCACGTACCACTTCAGGACTTTGATCAGGTCTCTAAAAAAAAAAGACACACACATATACACACATCAGCGTTTATCCCTGGCTGTTTCGCTTTTCTCACCGGCTCTGGCCAAAAAAAAAATAGCAATCGGTGAGGCAACTCTGTATTTCAAATCTGCAACACTCCCTCATACAAAGTGCAAATCGATTTCACACAACACTACAGCACTTATTTCATCAACGGAGCTCAGCTTAMTGTCACAGTTAGTAGAGACGATTTTCAGAGGACAAAGCAAAAGGATTGATGTTGAAATAAATGTCTTCCTTCTCTGGTGCTTTCAGGTTCCTCAAGATTTTGAGTCATTTCAAATCAAACAGACTAAAGCATTCTGTGTGAAAATAGTGTGAACACTAAGAGATGAMGTTTGTTCAAACTGAACCATTAAAWAAAGCCTAATATTAGCCAGAGGTATATAAAGTACCTAAAAGAAATTACTAAGTAAACGTAAAAATGCCTTAATTGAAAATGACTTTGGTAAAAACTGATTTCCCTGAAAAGAAACGTAAAAGTATAAAAACTGCTCACAATAATCAGGAAAGTAACTTTTACACGCACTCTMATAAATGTAGTGTTGAATTCAACTGGTTCCACAAAAACAAGCAGAGCAAACTGCTTTACATTTTTTCAACTCAACTCATAACTTGGTTCAGTAAATTCAACATTTCATTTTTTAAGAGTGCAGAAACAACTCCTTTCATGATGAGTTCAGTCATATTTAAAATTTGCAATGCGTAAAATAAAGGGTTCAATTTTAAAGTAAGAAAGTAAATGTATAATTTTTATGTGTTGAATGTAACAAAATAAAAGTTAGTTTTGATAAAAGAACACTTTGTAAAATTATTAAAGTACTGTAGTAAAGCAAATGTATCTAATTACTATGCACCTCTGATATTTGCATAGTAAGGGACGAAATAAGAACAGCATCTACAGTAACTACAACTAGCAATACAAAAGCTAAAAGCTAAGACTGACAAAACTGTAGCTAAATGTTAAAAATAGCAGAACAGTTGCTAAAAGTTAAAATGAGCAAAACAGTAAGAGTAAAGATTAGCAAAAATAGGACTTAAACAGTTAGAAGCTAAAAGTAGAAAAGGGGTAGTTTAGCAAAAGACGCTAATATAGCTAAACAGTTTCAGTAGGCTCACTAAGAGATTATGCATTAAAACAGAGCGCTCAACTCTTTAATGAGCTGAGTGTTTTATTTATAAGTGGCTCAAAACTGCAATGGAGGAAACGCTGAATCAGCATTCAGACTTGTTTAGGATTATTTAGTCCTAATTTGGACTCAGACTGCAGGTTCACAGGGACAAATTCACACCGTTTCTGTCAAAACAAAAGCAGCTACACACGTGTACAGTTAGTGTGTTACCTGATTAAAATGTAACACTTCTTGTTCAACRACATCACATATTCAAGGGTTTAAAYTTGGCAGCAGCGTTKTGCAAAAAAGACAGGAAGAAAAGAAGAGAAGAAGACAGACCGCTGTGAACGTGTGATTGGAGAAGAAACACAGAGCCGATTCAGATTATTAGTTCTCGTTTCATCAGCCAGGGGGCACCACGAACTTTTTATTCATTCCTCTCAGTGACTCAAAGAAAGGTCGAGCCTGATGTGTTATTAAAGCGCAGCGTGTCGGAGAGGCTGCAGTCTTTCCTCCGGCTGCTGCTGCAGCTGTGAGAACATGACTGAAACCCTCATACCTGTAGGACAAAGCTCCAGCAAAATGGCTTTCGATGTAGGTGTCCATGACCGGTTTGAAATGTTGGAACTTGCTGTCCTGGAGGAGGTTGATGATATGGACCTACGAATTAACATAAAGTAGATCAGTTTAATTTCACGTTCTGTATGATGTTTAGTTTGTTCCAGGTGAAGTGCACGCTTTTATCTGTCTGTTAGCAAAATATCTAATCAGCTACAAGATGGATTTGATTGAAACTCTCAGAAAGTAATTCCTGGATGTAGAGCAATAACTGATGATCCAATTCAAGATGATCGCCACAGTAAAGCAACTTTAGCGAACACAATAATGACTACAAGATGGTCAGTTTTAGGGCTGCCACAAATGATTAYTTTTATAATTGATTAATCACCGATTATTTTTTCGATTAGTCGAMTAATCGGATTATACGTTAATTGAATATAAAACATACAGCTTATCAYGCCAGAATGCAGCTGCTATTATATAACCACGGTTAGATTTTAGCTATATGCTAAGTTCTGCCTTGTAGATATTGCACATGTTTCTCTATTTTCTTAAAATGATCCCACACTTTTGAGCTCTGTTGTCAGGTAGCCATGATACCAGAGCCTGTCTGTATAATGTCTTGTGACGTCCACGGCCTACCCCAGTTACCACTACTGTGCATGTGTGTCAAGGGCAGAAAGGCAGACGTGGCAGTGGAAGGTGTCAAAGCTGTTTGGAGAGAAAAACAAAGTAAAGAACAAAAATAAAAATAGAAAACGATTAATCGATTATTAAATTAGTCATAGATTATTTTAATAATCAATTAGTCGTCGATTAATCGATTAATCGTTGCAGCCCTAGTCAGTTTTATAAAAACTGAGCTAAAATTTTGTGTGATTGTAGCTGAGAGTCGTCCACAACACAGGCTGTGTCCAAAACAGGAGGCCGGTTCTTCCGAAAGACCCGACCTGCCCGGTCGAGGTGGGCCGGGTCCTTGGTAGACCGCGAAGACCGGAAAAAAGTGGCTGTGAATTTGGACGGTCTAGCCTCCTGTCCTTACCCCAGCATACGTTCTGTCGCCCACCAACCGTGACGACGCTAAACAGAAGCAAAATTAGATCGAAATTAGAAAAATATCAATATATTAGCGTTATTAATATCACAAAACAATCAAATTAATTTAAAGGTAATATTTGAAGAACTAATGGAACCGCCGATACAAATGACAAAGGTAATAAAAACACAACCGTTTGAAATTTTTAACTTTTATACCACCATTTTTAAAATTTAAAACGTATAATTTTCTCTTGCTTTGTCCACCATTACTAGCATAAAGAAAATCTCCGGTCGGGCCGCAATGTATAATGTGATATGGTCGGCCGGGAAGAATCCATCGGACCAGTCCTGCAATTTGGGGCACAGGAAGGATGCATTTGTTGACTGCATCAGAGGAGCCTTCGGTTTTGGGCAGCCTCCGTTGCGGTGCTGTAACGTAAGCGGCCGACAAATTCGGCCTTCGGAGGACCCGGCCTCTCGTTTTGGAYACAGCCATACTCTGTCATTTCCCAACATACGCTAGCATGAATAACCTGGCATTAGCTTTGGAGAGGCTAGTGACTAGCATGCCTAGGCTGCTCACCTTTTTTACCACCTGAATTAGCAGCTGCATTTGCCCTTTTCTATTATGATGGTGTTTTTTTTCTCCTCAGCCGAATGATGAGAAAAGACAGAMCTATCAAGTTGGGGCTTTTTATGGAAAGTTTAGTTTATAGAGAAAGTTTTCTTTATTCAAAAAAGTTGGTGTCTAAAAAAAAGTAGGTGAGCAGCCTAGGCATTCTAGCCGCTAGCCTTTCTGATGCTAACACCAGCTTATCCATACTAGTTGCTAGCCTCTCTGATGCTAACACCAGCTTATGCATGCTAGTCACTAGCCTCTCTGATGCTAACACAGCTTATACATGCTAGTTGCTAGCCTTTCTGATGYTAACACCAGCTTATCCACGCTAGTTGCTAGCGTTTCTGATGCTAACACCAGCTTATGCATGCTAGTTGCTAGCCTCTCTGATGCTAACACTAGCTTATACATGCTAGTCACTAGTCTCTCTGATGCTAACACCAGCTTATCCATGCTAGCTGCTAGCCTCCCTGATGYTAACACCAGCTTATCCATGCTAGTTGCTAGCCTTTCTGATGCTAACATCAGCTTATGCATGCTAGTCACTAGCCTCTATGATACTAACACCAGCTTATCCATGCTATTCGCTAGCCTTTCTGATGCTAACACCAGCTTATCCATGCTAGTTGCTAGCCTCTCTGATGCTACCACCAGCTTATGCATGCTAGTCACTAGCCTCTCTGATGTTAACACCAGCTTATGCATGCTAGTCACTAGCCTCTCTGATGTTAACACCAGCTTATGCATGCTAGTCACTAGCCTCTCTGATGCTAACACCAGCTTATACATGCTAGTTACTAGCCTTTCTGATACTAACACTAGCTTATACATGCTAGTCATTACCCTCACTGATCCTAACACCAGCTTATACATGCTAGTCATTAGCCACGCTGATGCTAACACCAGCTTATACATGTTTGTCACAAGCCTCTCTGATGCTAACACTAGCTTATACATGCTAGTCACTAGCCTAGCTGATGCTAACTAACACAAATGAATAGTCTCCTTTTCATTTGCCAGCGGCAGCTTCTCAGTTAACGGTGCCAGCCTATCATTAATCAGATCAATAGCTGGCTTATGAATAAATATAGCCTCCTGCTACAAGGATGTAGCAACCACTGGATGCGCAATAGTCTTAATTTTGGCCCTCATACCGGACCATACATAAGACAACCCCATGTTAAAACTATGGCACAAAAGGTGGCAGGTGATGTGCATTCGTCCAATCAATGTTAGGCATTTATTTTATGTTTTAATGGCTTCCCAAAACTAAAAAAACAACAACATATCTTTTAATAAGTTTGACAAAATCTGACTGATTTTGGATTTTTAAATTTGACTGGTTTAACAGGACTGCTTTATTTTTTAAATAAATAAATAAATCCCAAAGTAACCATGGTAAAATCCTTTTCTAGGCTGTTGCTCACACGTGTCATGTCTCCTTTACCGCCCCGATTGTAGAAGATAAGTTTGCTTGTTTCCAAACCACAAGAAGCAAACGTGACACGAGCCGCAGCTCACCAGACTTTTCCATCATTGATAACGCCGGCGTGTGAGCAGAAAGTTTGCTCGTGTCTCAGTGTGAGACTCGTGTAGACAGAGACACGAAGAGAGAGGAGAAAGTGAATGAAATTGATCTTTTGCTTCTGCTCGCTGCAGCGTGACGCGGCTCCGATTGATTCAGCGAGCTATGAACCGTAACGTCTCTCTCTCTTTTTTTTCCCAAGGTTGTTTCTGTTTGAGTTGTGTTGAGATAAGATCTGAAGGTGCTGTCCCTCTTAGATGAAAATTAAAAACTGAAACAATTAAAAACTTCTGCTGTGAGGTTTTTAGTTAGAACCATAACCTGACAAGAACTGTGAGCRTCAAATTTTAGCTCAATAGGTGCAAAAGTGACTGAGATAACCATTTTAACTTAAAAATATTAATGAATTTCAGACGTAGAGCTAATGTTTACCTTCTGAGAGTTTATCTGTTCAGCGGCTCGTGAGATATTTTGCAAACAGACACCAAAAGTTAATGCCAAAGTTAAAAGCAAATTTCTGCCAACAGTACAGACAAAATGTCCTGATGCATCTCACTCAGTTATCCAGGTAGAAAAAAATCAAAAAGAAAAAAATTATAAGTAGGTCCTCTGGATGGGTTCTTCTTTAGTGAAACGTTTCGTCTCTCCTCCAAGAGACTTCTTCAGTCTGATGAGTTTCAGGTGAACTCAGCCTTATAAGCACTGCCTCCACATGGACAAACAGGTTAGTCACATGCAAAAGAGGGTCATCGCCTATCAATAGGCTTCATTAGCTCTATTGTTCATAGAGGGTCATGTGCCTGTGATACCAACACAAAGTGGGAAAGAGGGACAAAAACAAGGGGACGTCAAGCCCCGCTTGAGCTCACTACATAATCAAGCCTATTGTTAGGCGATGGCCCTCTTTTGCATGTGACTAAATAGAGCTAATCAAGCCTATTGTTAGGTGATGGCCCTCTTTTGCATGTGACTAACCTGTTTGTCCATGTGGAGGCAGTGCTTATAAGGCTGAGTTCACCTGAAACTCATCAGACTGAAGAAGTCTCTTGGAGGAGAGACGAAACGTTTCACTAAAGGAGAACCCATCCAGAGGACCTACTTTTTTTTTCTTTTTGAGTACAGACAAAACATCAAAGTGTACTCACGAGTGAATCGAACACTTTGAGTCCATATCTTTGGGAGCTTTCATCTAAAATACCAAAAAGAGTGTCCAGAGTGTCCTGAAGAAACTGAAACAGGAAGCAGAATAAAAAAAGTGTCAGACGAAATTGGATTGAAATGAAATCGTGAGCGAATCCCGACTGAGGATGTGATTTGTGGGCCCTACTTTGACGATCTCCGAGCCGTCGATCTCTTTCAGCTTGGAGAGGCTGTCRTTGATCCTGTCGGGGTGGGCTCGCCACTTCAACAGGTCCAGCATGTCACCTGCGGGAAAACGGAAAGATAAAAAGCAGCAGGGACGATTTGAACAAATTGTTTGTTTGTAAAGAAAATAAACAGGAGCACAAGAAAAAAAAACTCAGATCACAAAGCATCATTCAGTTATAGCCCCAAAACGCCACCGAATCCAAACAAATGACAACATTTTGGAGTGCAGTGGGATGGAGGAGATAAAAAGTCATTTTTCCTGAGCCTGGCTCCCCAGACACCTGCATGAATAAAACATAAGCCTTAAGAAGAAAGTCTTTCAATTGGCTCTTGACTTTTTCAAGCGTGTCTTCTTACAACAGTTGGAGTCAAACTTGAGCGTGCGTCTCTAAAAATATTCTAAGTCTCTAAAACAGCTTCTTTTTTCTTTTTAAAACTCAGCAGAATTTCTGTAATCAATACCTTAAACACGAAATATATTCATGTAACTGTTAGAATGACTAAAACAATTAGGAATGTACAGTAGCTGATCTTTTTGTACCCTATTGCTCTACCTGATTAAAAACAATACTTTTTTTAATGTGTTATGATATTTATTTATGGAACAAGGTAAAACCAGAGGAATTCCTATTCCTTCCTGTTTTGGTTGTGCTAGAGTGTGCAATCGCACAAGTTCTCCAAATTTAACTATCCTTCAAACATTCCTATTTTCAGCTGAGTCTACCATCTTTGGATTGAACTAAAACAGGCTTCATGCCTTTTTTCTGCAACATTAGTAATGTATGTTATGTAAGTTGGAGAACATGACAAAGGACAAATTCAAAAGAAAAAAGAAAGTTTGTTAAACAAGAGAGTGCCACAACGTTCATGCAGTCATAAAAAYTAATCCGTGCAACCATTCTTTGAACAAATTTACTCTTGGTTTGATGTTAGAAATGATAGGAACGGGAAGCGTTTGTGTCTACTCTAGATATACGTTAGAGTGGTCGCAATGACAGCTGAAAAAACTTCAATTTACTGAACATATAAGTTAACCTGAGAATAAATGACAAAAGCTAGATGCTACTGGGTATTATAGGTTATGTCTCAAAAGAAAAGGTCTACAATGGTTTAAACATTTTGCTTCCTTCCTGTTTGTTTAAAAGGTTTAAGACCTCTTGATCCCTTAGACCGGACTATCCTTGGACTCAGATTATGCATTTGAAAAGCAGCCAGACCACCTCAACAGGTAGCTGGCCAAAAGAAAGTTACCGTTTTGCGTGAGCTTGGTAGAACACAGGAAGCTGGTGATCCAGAAAGACTCCTTGGTGGCTTTTAGCGTCTGATTGTTGGACGGAAGATTGGCCTTGGTAGACGGCAGCTTCAGGTAGCGTGAACAGTCCACCAAGCTGGTGTTCTCTTCACACTACAGAGAAAAAAAAGAAAACAAATAWTGTATACGGCTACTGCACTGTACTGTAGCATAACTCTCTATTATCGTTTGAGTTGAAGCTTCTTGATGTTTCTAGATGAATATTCTGCCTGATGAAGCAACAAAAAGCCAGGGATGAAAGCCTGTTGAGGATTTATTGGGCGGCCTTGATGAGCTGTACATCTGAGGCTGTTTAAGATCCAAAGCCACCGCACAGTTTAGACCGATTCTTCCAAGTCTATTTCAGGTCTGAGCAGAAAACTAGGCCATGCCAGTTTCATTGAGCTTTTCAGCAGCCCTCCATCTGGCATCACAATGGGCCTTCACCCCCTTAACTTGGCTGTGAGAACACACAGCTAAGAAAGCTATCCTCTAAAAAAAGACAACATTTTGCAGCTGGATAAAGCAGCGCAATGAAGAATGCAGGTTTTTTGTTTTTAAACATAGCTGAGAGATCTCCCCAACAACACATTGTATGAATGCCCTCCATGTTTCTCCATGTTCCACAGAGGAGCAGGGTACACACCCTCCGTCTGCGGCTGAGGATCCAGTCTGCAATTATTCTAGATTACACACAACACAGGACTGCAGTAGGTTTGAGCCAAAGACCCATTTTTTGTGTTTTAGCCTTTAAAAGTGTAAAAACCTCAAAGTAAGCGATACAGTAGATTAGCCTGGGCGAGGTAACGAAAATGAACGTAATAATCATCCTCAAGCAAACAGATGCACGCCAGCTCTATATAAATGTGAACGTTACGCAATGGATTGGTCTGCAATGGAGCGATGTGAGCTGTTTGTCAGCCGGCGGCACAGAACTGTATAAGACACATGAGTTCAGTTTATTTAGAGGAGATGACTCTCATAATTAGATACGGCACGTACGATCTCCTTTGAAGTACTCTTGGCAACACCTGTGCAAAACAGTTCAATCAGTCCAAGAGCCTTTAAGCTGCAAATTACTAATAAACAAAATAAACTGGAAGATGAACCATATATAAGCAAACACATGTATTGCCAAGGACTCAATTTGTTTGAATTCTGTGTCTCTCTGGTTAAGTCGTGGCTGTGAGGGCAAGCAGTTATTTTATTTGAGTGTTTTACCTTATGGATAATGAGCTCATGGATGCCATCTGGCAGAGTGCTGCCATCTTCCTGCATCAGAGGAACAAAAGAGTAGCCAAACAGTTTCTTCTCTCCTTTGTCTTTAGCTGTCAAATAACAACACATGAGCATGAGTCCAAAATAGACACGAACAAACTGTAAGTAAAAATAATAATAATTATAATAAAGGTCCAGCGAGATCAATCAGCACCAAATGAACAATGTTGGTTTGAGACAATCAATGAGTTTTGTGGGGAATGCTGGGAATGCCTCGCGACACTACCCACTCCCACTGAATCAGAACCGTGCTGGTTCTTTAAACACACAGGAATGGTGTTAGAATTAAGAGAATATGATTGTTTGGATTATCAGTTAATCTTTTTTGTTTGTTTTTGAAGATGTTATTCTCATCCAAGGAAATAATTGATAGTGCTGCTTGTTTATACGATCGCTCTCCTTCCAAAATAACGTAATTATTATATGAATGCCCATTATAAGTATGCAAAAAAAAAAAACGGTTTGAAAATCCGATCAAATTTGACCAAGTTATGGTTATTTAAACAGTAAAAACACCAAAAACACATTCATGTTGAGAGTGGGCGAGCTCCACGACCCAAGATGGCCGTCGTGTGAGGATGGATGGTGCTAACGCTAACACTGCGCTACAAACAATGAGTCGTTGTGGGTCAGGGAAAGCGGTGCATCTCGTCTCCTTTGGGTTGCGACACACATTTGCCAACGTCGTCCTAAAATTAGAAGTATATCATCGCAAAACCACCTTTGAACGAGCTGCTCTTGAAATTCTACATGGTATTGAACAGCACCATCGCTCTTTCTGGGTCTGCACTCTGTTCCTCCCCCTTCATCTCTGTCCAATGGGAGCAATGATTGTAACCTGCGTGGCTTGGTTTATAAATTATAGTCTGCTTGCACAAAAAGTTGCTGTTGTTTTTTTTTTTATTTAAGAAGGGACAGTGCATATTACAGAAAATGCCAGAATTATCCATGGAGGCTAGTTTTCATCTGTAGTCCCTACAAGTACAATGCTTTTGGTCTGGCCCAAACAGGTGGACCAAAGGACTTTCCTGATGTYAATACACCCTTAGAAGCTACAATCTGAGAGCATGATTGATGTAGACTTCCTTAAGCCTTGTGCATAGTGTGCATTATAAACTGATGTAGATGCTTTAGCAGTAAAGTGCTAAGTATGCACAGTGGGAGGTCAAATGCCAGCAATTCGTCAGGTTTTTTTGTGTAGTGTTTGTGGAATTTTACCCAGAAATGACAAGCTGTTCTGGAGCAAAATTACAAATTAAAMCCCAATGTCATTGTATTGTTGAACTAGGATGTTACGTTGGAAGTAATTTTGTTTTTTACGAACAAGGACACTGTTTTTTTTTATTTATTTATGAAACTAATGACTAATGATAGTGACACATCTTTCCAGTCCTTTTTAGGAACAACTATCACTCCTTTTAAAGTGGAACTTCAAAAATATGAACTTTCTATTCTGCTTTACGGGAACTAAGAGTTGGCTCGAGTGTTTAGGAGTTTTTGCATCTCACATCATGGTTTTGGTGTCACCACAGATCTAAATGAGGATCCTAACAGGTTGCACTTGGGTGGCACTGACGGCAGTTATAAGGCTACTACATCTACTGCACACAGTCACAGAGCCTCCTGGCTTGGCAACAATAACACTGGCTCATTATGAGAAAAGAAACTCTGCCTCGTCTCTGAAAGCCAAGAAAAAAGATCAGACAGTGAATGGAGTTTGTTTTTTAATCTCATTTGGAAATGAGAAGTTGGACAAACTAGTGATGTTATGAAACTGCTTTCACAAGGTTACGCTGGTACATTTGGGCACGGTCTGCTTGGAAGGGAGAGCTGTGTGAGGAAATGAGATCATTCATGCGAGAAAAAAAATGACTGCCTGCACTTTTTGTTTTCCAGACAATGATGTGCGCAAAGGACTTTGCAAACTGGTGAATTAGACGACGTTCAATATTGCTTTAAAGTGTCTGTGACATCAAATGTTTGTAATAAATATGAATTAATTATTTGAAAGATAACAATAGCTGTGTTTCCATTGCAAATAGCTGCGTTTCCATTGCAAACGTGCGCAAAACTTTGTCGATATTCTGTTAATGTCGAGAAAACACAGTTTCGCAATTGCGGTGTTTCCATTAAGTAAGAAATGCTATTAAAGTCACGCGTGAATATGCTTGTTCTCGCGATAAGTCATTACAAACATGGCGGCAATGGATGTAAACACATAGCATAATGCTACCACAACACTAGCGCTCATCATCAGGAGACATCGGCGTATTTTAATGAGGCTTTCCGGCGACAAGCCCATTTGTTTGGGAGCGGCTACGTATGCTGTGTTTTGGGGAAAATGTAGTCGGTGAGTTTCATACTTTCTTTTAGTACGTCGGTGATTTTACTACWACTTTTACTTCCTGTTATCTTCTTCTTCGTCGTCTTTTTCGCCAGTAGAAACAGCCGGTTGTTGATCACGTGACTCCCGTGATGCAAAAAAAGTGTTYCCACTGCAGTTTTGCGAAATACATCAATTTCGATAAGGCCGAAATACCACCTCATCCTAGCGCAAAACCATTTTGTTGAAAAACGTAATTTTTTGCAAAATTGACGTGTTTCCATTGAGAAAATTTATTTTCGAAATTCTAATTTGCGCATTTTCATGGTCAATGGAAACACAGCTAGTGATAACACGTTGCAAAAAAAAATTCACGCCACTGAGATGAAAGTTTGTTGAGATATTTACATGTGAGRCAACAGGAAGTGATGTCAAAAGGGGAGTGTCTGAATGTGAACCGAGCACTGCTACGATGTCTGAAAGACTGTAGAGAAGAATCTGATGGGGTTTTTTTAGGTTATTTTGAGTCTTTGTTAGAGAGAGATGAAAACGTGTCAGAGTTCAGATCAAACTGTTTCAATAATCAAATACCAGAGAGTTTTCTTTCTCAAAGAGTTCCCCTTTGATGTCACTTCCTGTTTCATTTTAGTTGAGCCAAATTAAGAAGAAAATAGGCCAGTTTAAAATCGGGTACATCATGTCAAATTTCTTAAATATAAAGATGATTTATTGGACTTTTTGTATGTGAAGGWTCTGCACGTCGTGGCACTTTAATCAGTAGGGTAACAATCTGGTTTATTAGCAGTGAGGATAAAGGTAGACTCCCAGGCATTGTGTAAGTAAAATATACACTTACTGGAGCAATGCCGAAACTCAAAGCGGACGTGTGATCCTCGGAACATATCCACGGGGATGGGCAGTTTAAGCTGCTCGGCCCAGCGGGGGCTGTTGTTGTGGTACAGCACCAACGAGTGGTACTCATCCCCRCCTGGCTCACCTGAGCCGGCAGCCATGTAACTCTGAAAGACAGCAAGCAAAGAGTTGAGCAGGTGAAGGAATTACCAAACAAAAAGGCAAGAAAGTGACAGAGACAAGGTTGACTCAAGTGTTTATGTATGTTGGGGAGTTGTGGTGACAGCAGGGCTATATTTGACTCCATTTCCTCTTCAAGGCCAAGGCAGCAGAGGAAACAACAGAGGCTGAATGTCACCAGAAATGAGCGACGCATCTGAGAGACGCTTCGCTCTCATCAGGGTAAACCATTTTTAAATGACAAGCTGCGCTTCAAAGGAAGACACCCGCTGTTAAATAAATCTGTTYACATGAAAGAATCTGGAAGCACAGCTGTTTAGCAATTAAGACAGAWATGTCTAACGCGTTCACCTTCAGGATTTGTCCATCAGCGTCTAGGACGTAGACGGTGATCTCCACGTTCCGGGCGACGCTCTTCCCCCCCTTTTCGAACTCTCCTCTCTCCAGTGTGATGTAAAGGTCATTCCTCATTTCTCCTGCAGAAACAGCAAAGCAAAAAAAGGCCAGGGGGCATTGATTATGCATACAATCGAATAGTGAACACTCAGCTTTTTTTTTTTTTTGTGGAATATGTACGACAGGGATGAACAGCATGAATGTCGGTGSTATTTAATGGTATATTTCATGCAGACATGACACACAACCCAGAGCGCTGACATTTGAGAGAATAAAAAAAATCAAAGTGTCGTTTTTAATACATAAGAAAAAAAAATCACAGTATTCACATTTTTTATAATCATGTCAAACTTTGATAATGAATACAGTATTGTTAAAATTTTAAACAACAAAAAACTGTTTGTGGATCCATATCTCTTCATTAGGGACATGTAATAGTTATTCTATAATTTGAGGTTTAAAAACTTGAAAAAAGGAGCCTGTTTGTTTCTTCATAAAGTATCATTGTTGCTGTTCATCTCAAAAACAGCAGTTGCYTCATCAACAATAGATTTAAATCCTTAAATACCTTTTGAGATAAATGAAAGTATTTTACGTTTTTAAGGTTATTTAGTTGATTCACGTTCTGTTTTGTTAYGATTATTGCAACAAGATGTTGAGGATGTTCTAAACTTCCAGCTCTTTACTCACCTGTCTCCTGTTTGTAATCAATTCATTCAGATTATTGTACAGCTCCAAGTCGCAATAAACGTTGTCTCAGGGCACTGTACACAAAAAACAATCAACCTAAAGAAGCCAG